ATTAATGATGTAAAGTGTGGATTGAGATGATTGAAGTGAATGTGATGTGATTTCAGGCTCAAGCTGAGCACACAGAGCGTCAGATTAAACAGCAGTTTGAGAAGCTTCATCAGTTTCTCAGAGATGAAGAAGAAGCTACAGTCACTGCACTGAGGGAGGAAGAGGAGCAGAAGAAGCAGATGATGAAGGAGAAGCTGGAGGAGATGAACACACACATCTCAGCTCTTTCACACACACTCAAAGACATGGAGGAGATGATGAAAGCCAGTGACGTCTGCTTTCTGAAGGTCTGATTTCAGATCATTGGTTGATCATTGGTTGATTGATTGAGTTCTTGATGATAATGGTGTGTTTGTTCTGCAGGAGTTTCCAGTCTCAATGGAAAGGTGAGTGATCTGCTCCTGTCTCTGGTCTCTCTGGTTCTGATCCAAAGCCACTGCAGTTCTGACTCCTGAATGTTCTTCCAGAGTCCAGAGCTCACGGCCGGATCCACAGATGGCTTCTGGAGCTTTGATTCATGTGCCACGATACTTGGGCAACCTGCCGTTCAGAGTCTGGAAGAAGATGCAGGACATCGTCCGAAACAGTGAGTCTGAACATCTGAGCTGGACAAGATGTCTGATAGATAGATAGATAGATAGATAGATTGTTGACATGTTTCAAAACTTAGCTAATTGCTATTCTGCTAGCATTTGTAGCATGATGGAAGTCCTGTTTTCTAGCATTAGTCAATGGAGCCGACCGCCATGAGTCTACGATGTTCTGGTGCAGATATATGGGTCTTGCTGAACAGTTGCTAGGGTAATCTGTTTAGTTGCTAGGCAGTGATTTGGCAGCTGCCAGTAGGGCTGTCGCGGTTATGGAATTTCCCTTGCGGTAATGTTGAGTGGCTCAATAGCGCGATATGCGGTATTACTGCCATTTATTTATTTATTTGATATATGTATTTGTTGCTATATAAATAAAGTTTACGATGTGGACAAAAATGAGGACATTTTCAGTAACCAATGTAACCGAAACTTTGAGCGAGTCATTGAACCGTTCATTCAAAGAATACGTTTTAAAAAAAGCTGATTCATTAAAAGAGATGTAAAGAAACAAGATGTTAGGCTAATTATTTTTAACTTTGAGGTTCAACTTTTCAAGGCTCAGCTGAGCAGCAATACGTCACATGGGCAACGCTGAAGCTGATGCTTCACTTATTAGAGACCAATATAGCATTGATTCAATGCGTGACTCACTGATTTTATGCTGTGGGATACTGACCAGCGCTGCTGCTGCTGACGCTCATTTATGGGAAAATACCCGTGAAGAGAACGTTAATGATGATGTGCCAAATATTTCGCTTCCCTTTGACACGACAAGCTTTTCACGATTTCAAAGACAGACGCAGGTAATTGCACGCGCTCTGCCGATCTCTCTCATTCATCTGTGTGAAGCCTGTAGGCTACACATCACCATGATAAACAGTCTTGTTATCATTAGGAACTTGTTTAACATTCAATACACATTCATTAAGTTCAAAACAAGAAGGGTATAGCCTTATAAAAAAAACGTGAATATCGCGGTTGCTGCGGTTACGTGCTATCCTCTGTGGTTGACTTGTCAGAAGCGCGGTACTACAATATTGCGGTTACCGCGACAGCCCTAGCCAGTGATGTTACTTCAAAGGCTGTTTGCCAGTCTGAATTATATAAACCAACTGCATCTCCTCTATGATATTCAGATTAGAAGATATCCCTCTTTAGATTTGGGTTGTTAGGGTGCTCGATAATGGTTGCTAGGGCATGGCTAGGAAGTTTTTAAGGTGATTTATGGTTGGCTGAGCCCACCCTCATGTTTCTGGCTGAGCCCACCCTCATGTTGGCACTTCTATCCAAAGATATTCCTTATGATCTCTTTGAATGGAAGTCTATGGGATTAGTTGCTAGGGTGCTCTAAATGAGTAAAATGAGCCCGCCCCCTTGTCTCTATTGCACTGTGATCCAGAGCTATGTTCAACACAAAATCTCTATGCAATTTGCAACAAATGGTAACTCATCCTGGAGTTTTGTTTGGAAAAATAATAATCACCACAAGAGCCCCCCGTCCCCCATAAAATATGCAGTGTAAAAAATTACTCACATAAAATATGTTGGTGGTTATGTCCAGGCTTGGGAGGGTTGCTTTAAAAATGTATTCCGATACAGTTACAAATTACTTCATAAAAAAAGTATTTAGTAACCTAATCCAAGTACCAGAATATGAAAGTAATGTAACTGATTACTTTTGGATTACTTCAAGGACAGATATTATTAAAAAAAAAAAAAAAAAAAAAACTTTTATTTATTTAGAATTTCACATCCTTGAAATATATTTATTTAAAGGGCTATAGAGACATCTAGTGGCTACAGTATGGTTTTACAGCTTATTATGTATTATGTAGGCTAAGGAAATAGTAAAAACACAACATTTAAAAATTCTACACAATCTACATATTAGTTTATTTTAAAATAGGAAATAAACTGTTGACTATTGCCGTGATCTTTCTTAATTTGCCTGACTGAACTTGGGCCGTTGGAAGTAGGAGTTCCCTTACGTTAGCGGTGAACATCTCCTTAAGTGAGACTGAGAACGAAAAGATTATGAAGGGAATTTTTAGGTACTAAAAAAGCAACTCTCTTAATTTTTACAGATTTCAGCATCGCTAGAAAACGTACAGCTGCGATCATACAAACCACAGAATTTTAAAGTAGTAATAAACGCTACATATTAAGCTAACAACAAGGCACAGGATGCACTGTAAAACAATGTTGTTGGAATTTTCCTCTTTAAAAACAAAATAGCATTTTTACCTGTGAGCAGCATCGTTTCTAGCAGCAGTGATTCAATCGGTGTCTGAGGAGATTGTTGTCGAGAGCTGTTATTTTACGCAGTCACCAGCGGATGGCACACGTGACTCGTGTCGCGCGAGTCATTAATATAGTGTTATTATGCCAAAATACATATTTACTTAGTTTTAAATGAAACCATTGTAATCCTGAAAGTATCCCCCCCTTTTTCAAAAAGTAACTCTAATCTGATTACTACGTTTTTTGATGTAACTGTAACGAATTACAGTTACTGGATTTTTGTATCCTGATTACATAACGGCGTTACATGTATTCCGTTACTCCCCAACCCTGGTTATGTCTTTAACAGAGTTGTCATATCCAGTCTCTTTGGTATAGACAGAGAGAGAGAGAGAGATGAGGAAAAGAAACAAGCATGCAAATGGCAATTATCACGGCCGGAAAAATTATCAAGCTCATTTTTTTTTATTGTGCGATTAATTGATTTATTGACTATCGTGACAGGCCTGATCCAGATTAATGACAGCTAGCTGTGAGCCGTGGCTAAACTACCAGCTGTTAGCCACTTAGCTAGCTAACAACGCTACCTCAGAGCAAACTATCACCAAAATCATACGACTTTTTTTTTATATATAATACCTACATTTCCCATGATTAACTATAAATCCTTGGTGGCCAGGTGCCGCACTTTTACGTCTTTTACCCATCCAGCACAGCGTATTGATATACATCGGTCCTTCAAGCGATCCCCACTGTAGCCTATGGACAGGAGTTATGCACAAGATATATATATATATATATATATATATATATATATATATATATATATATATATATATATATATATATATATATATATATATATATATATATATATATATATATATATGTCATGGAGGCAAATTGAGTCTGGGGCAGATAATAATGGACAAGAGAAAACTGGGGGTAACAAAGAAGGATCGGAGCCTAAAATTAAAATTTTTCTCCAGGCATCTCTGTCTCTCTCTCTCATTGAAATGTGCAGTTTGGGCGGCCAAACCGGGCGAGATCGGGCGTAAATATGGCGGCGTTCTGTTTGGAGTGACGGAGGTGCATCTATCAATAACGAATAACAATAGATGATTTGCCTTCACTAATAATAAATCATTTCTGTTGTGTTTGACTTATGTTGGCTTCAGAAATTATTTATTACTCAGAATAAACTAATTTAAAAGAAAACACAGACTATAAGAGGCAATAAATGAAGATGATCAGAAGCTGCTGAAGATCAGACACACACTTCCAGTTCTTCATCCACAGCATTAATATCAACAGATCTCATTGATTTATTGTTATTGAACTTTCCCAAAGTATCAGTTTCTCTTGATGGACACAAATGTCTGAATCTCATATTTAATGTGTGTAGTTGATGCCGTTAAACGCTGATGATAAAACGAGTGTGAAACTAATAACAGCACTGACAGTGATCAGAGGAAAATGAGTTTGATCAACAGGACGAGTGTCATAATTCATAATAATCTGTGTTGGGTTCACTGTTGATCATTATATGAAGATCAGAATAAAAGCATGTGTTGATTGTGTCTCATCAGCTCCTGTGATTCTGGATCCAAACACTGCGTATCCACGTCTCGTCCTGTCTGATGATCTGACCAGTGTGAGATACAGCGGGAACAGACAAACTCTTCCTGATAATCCAGAGAGATTTGACGGGTATCTCTGTGTTCTGGGTTCAGAGGGATTTAACTCAGGAACACACTGCTGGGATGTGGACGTTACAGAGAGTGTATGCTGGACTCTTGGAGTAACTACAGCATCAAACCAGAGGAAGGGAGGAGGTTTCTTCAACACTGATGTCTGGTGTGTGCGGTATGATCCGGCCGGAATCTTCAGGTGGTCTCTGTTTTTTCGTTCTAGTTTTCCTGTTAAACAGGATCTTGATCGTGTGAGAGTGAATCTGGACTATAATGGAGGAACGGTGTCGTTCTCTGATCCTGTAACTAACACACATCTACACACACTCACAGACACCTTCACTCACACACTCTTTCCATTCTTCTGTTGTTATTCTGGCTCTCTGAGGATCTTACCGGTAAACAGTCAGTACTTTACACTCCTGTAGATCTGGATCTTCCTGCTTTCATCGTGTTTCCAATATTTACTCCATCTCACATGAGTAAGAGTGCTGTTGATCTGAGTGTCAGTACGGTGGCTGTGATTGGGCCGTGATGATCACATGACTGATATCCAGCACTACAGCAACACTCAGATCAATAAACATCAAGTTTTCATTTATATTCCACTTCACACAATTAGACCCATTAGAGACCGTTTTAGCATTCATGTTTTCAGGAGAACTGACATTTACCACATTATTTCACTCAATCTGTGTTTATTAATTTTGCATAATTATTATATATGATTAAATTGTAACAGCAAGAAATGTAAAAAGTTTTTGCTGATGATGATCCCTTGAAATGTGTGTTTTAGATAAATAAATAATATGATGTGATTATGTGATTTAAAGCTCAGAGTGAAATATTAAATGTTTGGGATGATAATTAGCGTTTAAGTCATGGAAAACTTCAAAATGAGTGGGATCCCAAAATGTTTATTTGTGTTTTCCCAAGTAAATATTTATAATGGAAAACAGAAGATGGTGGTGAAGTGGGACAGCTTGTCTGACAGATCTGCATTTATGTGACGAAGCCCATGGGTTTGGACAGGGCTTATTTCTCCTGAATGCAAAATATTAGGAATATGATCCATAAAGTACAGTAAAATGTTCGGTCATATAGCAACAATCTTCAACGTTAGCCTTGAACATGCAGTCGAACCGTGGCGGTGCGAGAACGTGTGTATTCAACTCAGTCAAGACAAAAGAAGTGATTAGTTCTAGTTTCAGATTTCAAAAACATCAAATTGATCAAAAACATCAAATTGATCAAAAACATCAAATCAATCAAAAACATCGAATCGCTGCTCTTTCCCCCTCAGACACAGAGCTGTCTCCTAACATTTTATTGTGTAGGCCTATATTTAACTATTTAAAGTGGTATCAAGCTGCCGTCTTAACAATTCTTAAAATCATTCACAGTTTTCTGAATTCAACCGCCTTTTTGTTTGAGATAAAATTATATTACATAGTAATAAATTGGATTTATAAATTGATTGTATTTTATTGTATTAATTGAAGTGACATGTTTGTGATTTTCATTTGTCAAGTAGCCAGATCCTTCCCATAAAATCATGATTTGGCATTCGTTTTATTTATTCAGATACAGACGTAACGTTGTTTATTTTACCTTTCTTTTCGGCAGTATTGGAAACTCCAACAGTCTTCCTCCGTTTGACAGACGCCACATTCGGTAACACTTTATTTAAAGGGGTGTGCATAAGACTGACATGATGACACTCATAAACCTGACATAACACCTGTCATGAACATGAAGGAGTCTTTATGAATGTTTCTGTTGTCATTAAGTGTCTTTCGGTAAATTATGACACTTTATAATGCAAAGTTGACATTGTTTAAAATGTCTTTGTTATGATAACTTGACATTAACCAAGAAATCCTGTCACAAATATTTCATAACAGGTCTAATTATCAAACTTAAAGAGTAACTAAACCCTAAACCAACTTTTTTTAGCTAATGATCTGTAATGCATCTTCATTAAAGGAGAACTCCGGCGAACAATGAACCTTCGGTCTAATAAAACATCGGTACACAGTCAACCGTTCTCTGAGATTTGTTTTCATGATAATCGAATGTAAAGAGTTTTATCTCTAAAAACTGTTTAGCGTATAATGCTAGTAATGGGGGCATTGAGTAAGTAAAAAGAAATCGCTAGTTTATACCACTAACAAGGCTCAAAATAGCCCCACACTAACACAGTAACATAATGAGGGTCCATACATGCAAAACGAAGCATTGAGAACTTTGTAAGTGTACAGACCGTTTAATAAGAAGATACTTTATAAAGACGGTTCACTTCATGTATACAGACAGGAGCCATCTTAGGAAATAGTCTCGATAAGTCAAACCACAAACGTCGTGCTGAGTGATCTGAACTGTATGAAGTTCAACGAACTTCTGAACTGTCTGAACGGCATTCGGGGATCGACTTATCGAGACTATTTTCTACTATTTTTGTGTCCAGATTTTTCAAAGCCAGGCCAGTTCCTTATGCAACGAAGGTGAAAGTAGAAGCTGAAATAGAGCGCCTGTTAAGAGAAAACATCATTAAACCTGTTAAACTCTTAATGGGCAGCACCTGTAGTGCCGCTGTTAAAGTCTGATAATACAGTACGACTATGAGGTGACTACAAGCTAACAGTAAATCGAGTTTCAGAGTCGGAACAGTACAACATCCCTCGAATAGAAGATTTGTTTGCAACATTGTCAGGTGGACTGAAGTTCACCAAACTGGATATGAGCCACGCTGACCATCAGACTGCACTATAGTCCAAGAAATATGTCCCTGAAGACCCACAAGGGGTTGATTACTCACCGTGTTTTAGCCTCTGGAGTTTCTTCTAGTCCTGAGGACCGTTGCGGGAGTACGGCAAGGTTTACCGTCTGTGGCAGTTTTCCTGGATGACATCTTGGTGACCGGTCTCAACGAGGAGGAGCATCTCCAGGGTATTGGACAGATTGCAGAAGCAGGACTGCGTTTGAAACGGAGCAAATGTTCCTTCATGAAAAAGAGGTAATGTTCTTGGGCCATAAAGTAGACGAGGCTGTCCTACACCCAGTGCCAGAAAAGGTCACTGCTATTCAGAAGGATGTGACGGAGTTACACTACTATAATAAGTTCTGCCTAACTTGTCTAGTGTTCAGCCCTGTGCAGCCGCTGCTGTTGAAGATGCACAATGGAGCTGGTGTGGGAACAAGAGGCTGCTTTTGCTCAGACTAAAGAAATGATCCAGTACAAGTTCTGGTCCACTATGACCCTCAGAAGGATGGGATTTTATCATGTGATGCTTCTCCTTAAGGTCTCGGTGCAGTTCTTTCGCATTACATGCCTGATGGTAGTGAGAGACCCCTTGAATGTCACGGACATTAAATCAAGGAAGGGTTGGCCGTAATGTTCGGCTCACAGCGCTTTCGTGAGTATTTGTATAGTCGGAAGTTTACCATCGTTACAGACCATAAACCCATGTTGCCTTTATTTAACGAGTTCAAATCTTTTGACTATTTTAACATCTTAAAATATTCAACATTTCAACATGTTGAATATTTACGATCAGAAATCCAGATGTGTGTGGGTAACCCCGAGGACAAACGTGCGCACGCTCTGGAGATTATCACGTGAGACGAAACATCAAATCAGAAAGCGAGATGACGGAAGACGGAAGCATAACAAACACAGTCATGGCGCAGCACAAAGTGAAATGATGTGGACAGCAGAGATGGAGGATCAGCTTGTTGATTTACAGCACGAATGTTTGGACAATGTGTCGTGTAAAACCATAATACCATAATAGACCGGACAAGGAGAAGAGATGGTCTGAAATAGCTTCGGCAATGTTAGAGAGAGAGAGACGGGAAATTAACCATGTTTATTTTATAGGCGTATTGAATATTTGAATAACCAAATAAATACACTAGATTTTTTTTATAGCAAAACTATGGTTAATTTGTGGTGATCACAAGGCGGTAATCCATCAGCCAGTAAGCCGCCATTATAGAAGAACTTCTCCTGCTGTTAGCAATAGCATCCCATTGACTCCCATTCATTTTGGCGTCACTTTGACAGCGAATAACTTTACATCTGAGATGTCCAAAGACTTCATTTGTCCATTATTTATTTCTAAAGAATCACAATAATGTATAAAACGCTCCATTACCCTGTATCTTACGTTACGGCACCGTAGAAGCCGTTTTTGTAAAAATAGGCTAACGATTGCGTCATCACTACGGGACTTTCTGTCGCACAGTAGAGATTTTCGGTTGTTAAGTCGTGACGTAATCACGCTCTGATAATACTGTTTCCGGGTCCAAATGCTGGGTCCTCTCTATCTGCTTACCGCTTTTGCCCGAGTTTTAACATGCCGCAGTGCTGTGTCCCATGTTGTTTAAATAGATCGGAGTTAAAAAAAACAAGTGACATTCAACTGTCATTCTACCGCTTTCCCTGTGACGAGAAAGAAAAGAGAAAATGGCTGCAGTTGATAAGGTAAGTTACAATTCTTTCCTTTATCCCTAACACCCACTGGCGCTGAAGCGAAGCCAGTCCTTTAAGAAAAGGGCTTAGTCTAACGTTATGGGTTGTAACGTTAATTAGATATGGACGAGCGGAGCGCTTGGACCCGGAAGAGGCTAAACGTCACGCGTGACGTCAGACTTAACAACCGAATTACCGTATAGACAGGAGGAGAAGCTCACAGGCAATCTTTTACTGTCTACGAGGCAATCGGGGGACATGAAGGCATAAAGTCAAGGTCGAAGCCCATAAATAGAGAGTCCATAAAAGCAACGGGACAATATATTTCAATAACGTTTTTGAAAATAAGGCAGGGGCGGCGTTTGCGTATGGCAGAGTGTGTCCATTGGCAGTCAGTCAGAGTTCAGATAAAACATCAGCTGATGATGATGCTCGTTAAAGATTTTAGGAGGGCTTTTTGAACCCCCTAAACTCCTAAATGATCCTAAATGATCCTGATCCTTTCATGATCCTAATTTAGATAATGAAAAAATGTGCGTTTTATGATCGCTCAGTCAGTCGTCACCTTTAAAAGTCATATGAAACCGGCCAACCGGCTTCTCCGCAGCGTCAGCGTCAGAACAAAAGCAGATGAAAACCTTTTAATGTCTATGATGAAAATGTGCATGCATTTACTAATAGACAGTGTAGGCCTATAGTATGTACATCTGTTTAGTTCTTTGTTTGTCATAAATGCAGTTTATACGGAGCCCCTCTAGTCCCACTTTGGTAAAAAAAATTAATTATAACTATCTTGTGGCCTCAAGATAGCAACTCGTGGCCACAAGATACTAACTCGTGGCCACAAGATACTAACTCGTGGCCACATGATAGTAACTCGTGGCCACAAGATAGTAACTCGTGGCCTCAAGATAGTAACTCGTGGCCTCAAGATAGTAACTCGTGGCCTCAAGATAGTAACTCGTGGCCTCAAGATAATAACTCGTGGCCTCAAGATAGTAACTCGTGGCCACAAGATAGTAACTCGTGGCCTCAAGATAGTAACTCGTGGCCTCAAGATAGTAACTCGTGGCCTCAAGATAATAACTCGTGGCCTCAAGATAATAACTCGTGGCCTCAAGATAGTAACTCGTGGCCACAAGATAGTAACTCGTGGCCTCAAGATAGTAACTCGTGGCCTCAAGATAGTAACTCGTGGCCTCAAGATAATAACTCGTGGCCTCAAGAT